GAGTTTTAGAATCCAAAGCACAAAAATTGGGGAAAATCTTAGCGAAGACCTACTTGTTCAATACGGCGTTCCGCTTCTTCTTAGGTCCTTCCCTTTTCCTCATATATATTAATAAGCCCTGCAACCTACAACTGACCAACGGATTAATAATAACTTTTGCGGATGATAGTCCTAATATTTGAGGCACCAACATGGGCACAGTCTGAGCGTAAGCAAAGACCTCCTGTCTTTGCTTACGCGCAGACTGGCTTTGATACTGTCACGAAATGGCTTAATGAAAACCAGGGGCGTGCGCTCCTTGTAGGCAGAAATGCAGTGCTTTACTTGCTATTCACAGACATTTTAATAAAACGTTGGTACGTTTCAGATGACTTTAATTAATAGTAAATAAATGAAGAAACAAAATATAATAACTTCAAAACGCCTACTATTTAAAAATAGCACCACACAAACATTGTTTACCAGGTGTTTACCGAAAAGCAAGCGCAAAGCAACTCATGCCGTCGCCTGGCGCAGGACATTTGTTTGCATGTGTGTAGTAATTTTGGTGTCCGTGCACAGTTCGCAAACGCACACACCCATTTATTTTATATCCCCGACTACAGCCGCAGGATACTGCAGTTGGCCATTCGGGTCCCGCGCTAATCGTTGTCGTGAGTACTCGGGAGTAATCGGAAGTGTTCGTTGCCTATAAATCCACCCAATTACAATAGTCAGAAATATAATAAATCGTGTTTGCGGATTATGAATTTTGAATATGGAAGGTTTTATTAGTCCGTGTGGTGACGGATTAAGAATACAAATTGTCACTACCCCAATTCATCCCGTGGGTGTCGTAAGAGCCGACTAAGGGAGCAAACTAAGCAGGACAACAGCACTGCAAAGAGAAGGAAAACTTGAAACAAACCCTATACCAACCCGTCTGGCCAGCGTGGTATAGTAGGCCAAAACCTCCTTTCTAAGGAGAGGCCTATGTCCAGCAGTGGACTAGTATAGGCTGTTGATGATGATGTTGATGAAGGTTTTATTTGTTTAATTAGCAGATATGTTTCATGTTCGCGGGGGCCATTTTGATTTTTTCATGTGATAAGCATTGTTTACTATTTTCTTTCCACCAGTATAATTATAGTTTTATTTGAAAGTGTGTACATTTAACAGTTTATTACTGAGTTCCGTTGATTTTTTAAAAATGTTATTTGATTGTGAGTTATGTGTGGATAATGTATGTCTATAAAAAATTAAAAATAACACGTTCTCACAATTGCCATTCAGTGAAAAGATTAAAATTGTGTCTAAAGGTAGGTGTGTACCCGAGTTACAACAATTAAACCAGAAAAAAGGAAATGTAACTCGCAAGTTTCATGTTAAAAGTTATGAAACGTATAACTGGCTGTGTGGTTGTATACACACGATTAAATTATATTGTTTTCCTTGCATATTGTTTAGTAATTCTAGTACAGTGTGGACTGATTCGGATTTAAATAATTTCTATTCCGCAGCAAAGAAGCATGATGCATGGTGAGTAGTTACAATATTTTAGCCTATTATTTTACTTATGAGAATTTCTTCCGCCGCGACGATCTATCGCTGTTTTGTCTGCGTTCCCGTTGAAGATGTACATGAATAGTAGTACATCTAAGACTTGTGCTAAAAATCTATAAAAGAAAAAGTGACCGACTACTCCGCCGCATACCTAGTGTCATAATCCTGTGCACGCCGCTGATGAAAACATCCTAAATGCGGACAAAACAAAATATGTTTCCTTTTTAAAGCGAGGTTCCCAGTTGACCACCCATGGACTACTGTAGCCCATTACTGCTCTAATTCTGAAATCACAAACTACCAGTCTACATGTCCAAAACTGCAGAATGTGAGTACTGAAAAATATTTTGGCGTTCTAATAGACCAGAATCTGAATTTTAACAGTCACATCGAATTGCTTACTGCACGAATGCGCAAACTAATGTATGTCTTCAAGCCTGCGAGGGGTCGCTGACACTACTACTATCAGAATGGTGTATATAGCACGTTGCCAATCATTACTAATCTACTGTGTCACAGTTTGGGGTGGCACGAATACAACCTCACTCCTGAAGCTAGGAGGGCACAAAGAGCTGTGCTAAAAACGTCATTATCTCTTTCATTTCGTTTTTCTACAGTGGAACTTTATCAAACGTGCTCCTTGCACTCAGTTCGACAATTACTCATTTTGTACACAGTTCTTAAGCAACATTTTTTACTACCTTTTGACCCCTCTGTACTATAAAAACGACGGAAACCTATGTCCGACCTCATCATGTTCCCATTTCTCCCACAGATCTTTTTCCTTTTTAGGCGGATTTTTATATAATAAATTAAATACATCTCTAGATATTTATTCTGAAACTAAAACGTGTGTTAAAGTGACAAACGGAAAACTTGCTAAAAATATAAAAATAGTAATACACATCTACACATACCTCATACTTTAACACAAACTTATATGCGCACAAACACACACAATACACACACGTACGCTCACATTAACATACACATATAACCACACACACATTTAAAAACAAATACTAGCACATTTTAAATTCAGTTACCCGTTTTGTCTCTACTATTTTTTTTGTAATATTCTCTTAAATTTTAGGTGTCAACTCTGTACAGTTTATACATATTTTTTCGATAGACGCCTGGTTATCCATAACACAAGTATGTTACTTGGTTTGGAAACCAGTATCCCACTATGATGTTATGACAACATTGTACATGTGTTTATATTGCAATGAGAGAAAAATAAACATTTATTATTATTACTTAGGAGAAAAAGAGTCTGCTGGTGGATTTGCGAATCTCCTACTTAAAACCGGCAACGGTAATTACCCGATAAATGACGGAATGATAACCATCCCTGATAATTTGTGCACAGTTGTATTTACGTTATAGGAGTTAATATCCAAAATTTACCCAGATATTGCTCATATCCACGATAAGCCAATGGAATGGTTGTGTGAAAGTGCCATACTAACCCCGAAAAACGGCCAAGCAGCGGCAATTAACGATACGTTAACGTCTTTTGAGGGGGAAGAAATGGCGTACAGGTCAATAGACTCTGTGGTCAACACAGATGACGCAATGACGCAATTAACTACCCTTTTTTTTTCCGTGCGGAAATCCCCTCGGATACCACTTACCGGTGGCAATGTCGGACTCGAACCAACTGAAATCGCACGCCGTCTCAGGTACCAGTAGTCGGGGAACCAGGTGTACCCTAGAAAGGAAATCCCTGTTGCCCAGACGTACCTCGGGCCATCTGCGGCGGGTGGACGACCCTCCCTGTGTGGGAACAACCATGTTCCCTCTGTGCTCCCGGAAGGACGCGCGCGCTTCATAACGCGCTCGCCGTCACCCCGGCCTGCTTCTGCTCGGGTGACAGATGGCCTCACCTGTATCCCCAGGCCTACGCTTATGGAGGACGGAGGTCGTTCTGCGACCTTAGGCACCTGAGTCGTCTGCGGTACCTGGCCCGTTCCCGAGCTTGACGGGCCGGGAGAGTTCTAAACCTCTCCTGGTCCCGCTCCGCCATCTCCTTCACAAGCATAACTTGCTCGCAGAAGGAGACGGCAGAGTTCCACGCACTCTCGCTCCGCACGATAGCCGCAATAAGGTTATCGAGCGAGAAAACTCCCACTCCGATGGCCGCCACGAGGTCTCGCCTCTGCTCCACCCACGCCGGGCATTCTGCCAGCGTGTGGAGCGCCGTGTCCACGGTCCGACCATCGCAGTGGTGGCACTCAGGCGTTGGCTCCTTGCGGATCAGACACAGGTAATCCCCGAAACATCCTTTCCCAGTGATCACCTGCGTCAGTCGGTATTAGAGGGTGATGCCTCTCGAGCCAATCCTCCATAACGGGTCTTACCGCCGCGATGACGGCGTGCCCGGCTCTAGGTTGCCCAAGTCGCAATTAACTACCCTGTCGAATTTCTTAATTCACTGAAACAATCGGGTCTTCCCTCTTATCATAAGCTTATTCTGCGCGTGGGCACTCCTGTTATGTTGTTGCGAAATTTAAAACCTCCTCAACTGCGCAACGGAACCAGACTAAAAGTAAAAGCGTTACATCGCAATGTAGTGGAAGCTACAATTATAACTGGATATGCGCAAGGCGAAACTGTATTTGTACCAAGAATATCCTTGATCCCGAATGATCTTTCCTTTGAATTCAAACGAATACAGTTTCCCCTCAAAGTTTGCTTTGCAATTACCATAAACCAGAGATGCACAGACCGCGGCCCGCCGGTCGAATACTGGTGGCCCACCGACAGCAAAAATAATACTCTCGTACATTCGAAAAATATTAAATTCTATTCCAGAATAAAACCAAAAAAAATATGTTCGAAAAGTAATTTGAATCTCGCGCGCGCGCTCTTAAGTGCGCTTATCGGTGCGCCGTGCATGCGTCGGTAACAACGGTCGGTAATGTTCGTGCTGATCTCGGTTAAATTCGTTTTCTTGAGGAAGCGCCGCGGCCGGCGGCGCGGCGACGACGGCAGCGCGGTGGCGGCTTATCCACGGGTTATATTGTTAGAGCAAGCGAGATAGCAATAGTCCCGAATTCCCGATTGCTCGCGTAGGTAGATACACGAAGCTTCCAGAGTCGGTTTCGAGATTTCTCCAGACAGTTTTCGACTCTATACGCGCGGTATAATAGCCACGCTAACCGCAGCGACCGACAGTTCGGTTTTAATTTGAGTGAAGTGTCAATAGTTCTAGAGTAGATTTTAACTCGACTAGCCGGTGTCATGTATTGTGATCCACATTCAACGTAGATTTCCCGTCAAGTGCCGTGTATAATTGTGTTGTGAAATCGTAAGTAAAACTCTGTTATTAATAAGTGTTTCCCTACCTATTTAATCAATTATTTTTGGTAATTTGAAAAAGGATGGGTAATTTAAGTAGGTACTGTAATTGTTTTTAGGTGCTCTGTTAATCCTAGCCAAGATAAAAACGCAACATGGACAAGCCAGGACCTAGTAAAAAACGTAAGGTTAAAGATAAAAATCGGCAGTTTCAAGAAATTTGGACTGAGAAATACTTTTTTGTATGGTCGCATAACAAAGTCGTTTGTTTAATTTGCAAGAATTCTGTTGCGATTGCAAAGGAATATAATGTGATAAGGCACTATGAAACGCAGCATCCTACTTTTACCAAGTTTACAGGCGAATTAAGAAAGCAAAAAATGTTGTCTCTAAAACGGGAGCTTATTGGTCAGCAAGCTATGTTTACCAAATCAATTCAAGATTCAGAAACAGCTACAGAAGTTAGTTATGAAATTTCTCGAATGATAGCAAAGCAAAGTCGCCCCTTCAATGATGGAGATTTTGTAAAAGAATGCATAGAAATTGCCGCTAAGAAAATGTGCCCAGAAGCAGCAAAAAAGTTTGAGAAAATTCAACTGAATCGTATGACTATCCAAAGACGAATTATGTCTTTGTCAGGTAATATTGCGGAACAATTAAATGAAAAAACTAAGATCATTGAATTTTTTTCGTTAGCACTCGACGAATCCACTGATATTAGTTCCACAGCTCAACTTCACATATTCATACGAGGTGTTACTCAAGATTTTGAAGTCTTAGAAGAGTTATTAGGAATGTGTTCATTGAAAGGTCAAACCAGAGAAGTTGATATACTTAATGTACTTTTGGATGAGTGTTCAAAAACTAATTTGGACTTATCAAAATTATCGGGAGTTGCGACTGACGGTGCTCCTTCGATGATTGGTGTTAATTCTGGGCTAGTTACTTTGCTGGAAAAGCATCTGCAAGAAAAAAACATAAACGCTGAAGATCTCATGCAGTTTCACTGCATTATACACCAAGAAGCCCTCTGTTCTAAAAAAATTGAATTTCAAAAAGTCATGAAAGTGGTAGTTTCGACTGTAAATTTCATAAAATCACGAGGACTCAATCACAGGCAATTCAAACAATTCCTTGATAACATCGAAAGCGAATATGGAGATTTACTGTATTATACAGAAGTAAGGTGGCTAAGTCGTGGATTGACACTGGAAGATTTCTAAATTTAATAGAAGAAATTGGAATATTTCTGGCGGAAAAGCAAAGGGATGTCCCGGAACTTAAAAATCCTGATTGGTTGTTGATTTGGATTTTTTAGTTGACATTACAAATCATTTGAATGTCTTGAACACACGGCTTCAAGGCAAAAATCAACTGATATCCCAGCTCTACGCTCTGTTATCTTTTAATGCAAGCTGACACTTTTCAGATTGCAATTGAATTCTGGAAATTACAATCATTTTAAGAATTATAAGAAAATGGCTGAAAAATTCAACAAAACTGCGATTAATTTCAGTTATGTAGAAAAGCTAGATTTTTTGATTCAATCTTTTCAAGACAGATTTTCGGAGTTTAAAAAAGTGAAACCTCTGTTGGACATATTCAGCAATCCTTTCACGATTTGAGTTGAAAATGCGCCAGAGTCAATGCAGTTAGAAATTATCGACATTCAAAACGACTAAGATTTACGCAACAAATTCAACGAAGGAGACTTGCTGAACTTTTACAGCTGCATTGATGAAAATACGTACAAAGAGTTGCGCATAAACGCTCTGAAATGTGCCAGCTTATTTGGTTCTACCTATTTATGTGAACAAACCTTTTCAATACTAAATAATAATAAAACAAAAAATCGAAACCGCCTTGCAAATGAAACTTTGGAAGCAGTTTTACGTGCTGCGTGTGTAAGCTCGCAAAGTAGTCTGATAATTTTGGCACACAGAAATAGATTAGCAAAAAATGTGGTGCATAAAGAAGTTTTATAGTTCACTAGCTTTTGCTCGCAACTTCGTCCGTGCAATTCTACTTTCGCTAAGAATAGCGCTCGCCTACGCTACGTTACGCTACGATATAACCGAACTCGCGGTCAAAACCTAGTCCGATATATGTCTCGGAGCGCTGCTGGTTTTGTATCCATATTAACAGCCTTGCCGATATCTGCTAAAATAGAAAGGCCCTTCTATACTTCCCTGCGATCATTAGTACTAAGTACTACAAGTTTGCAGCAATTCTCTTAAGCCAAAGCGAGCGGAATGAAACCGGTATTCACTGCAACTACATTGCCATACATTCCCACATAAGTATGTAGAAAATATTCTCTGAGATTGTATATCTCGCGATTGTGTAGGGATATTTAACGGCGGCCTCCAAACTTTCGCGGGATATACAATCTCATAACCGATGAACGTGGGTGGTGCATCCGAAATGCAGTCAGCAGTGTACGGACTCTCCTGTCAAAGGCATCTAATTCGGTCTGAGTCCATCTAACTATACCAAAGGAATATACCCTGCAACGTAATAATATATATCCTGCAACGTTTGTTACAAGTCAGATTCTGGTATTCCCAACGACTGTAATATACCCTGATACTTGTGGGTTTCAGTAGCAGACAGAGATCTGAATTTTTTGAATCTGAAAGCTCTATTCTTTCAGATTCTACGATTACGCCCTTCTTTACATACATTTACACCAAATTCCATCTTGATAGAATTACTAAAAGTTTTCTGTCACCTTTAGTAACGCTGTCAATTGTAATTTTGTGGGGGCTAGTAGTTTCAAATCATCTATATAAAGAAGGTGATATTTATTTATTTATTTATTGAGTCTTCCTGCAAACATATTGCATAAGGCGGACTTAATGCCTCAGGCATTTTCTTCCAGTCTAACCTTTGGGTGTTGCAAAGCTGTGTGTGGCAGGTGTATATTTGGGACAGGTAAAGATGAGTCTCATCTGGCAATGAAGGCATGTTACAATGGCAGAAAAGAACAAATCCGACAGATATATAAGTACTAGATATACATACATATAGTTTATACATATATCGATTCGACGTCGGTAGTAGTGATTCGTAGCGTTCTGATTATGTTTCAATTTAAAAATAATAAAGTTCTCTTATTTAAATAATTTATTTGCTCACAATATTAATTATGTCCTAAGCATTACTGTGCAGTGTTTGCAAGTCTTAAAGTGTTGTGTACTCTTAAATAAAATTAAATATAAAATACGAATCAGAACAGTGATTAATATCTACCCTAATCTACAAAATAAAAGTGCTAAATTAGTGAAAAAGCAACTCTGTCGCTCCCAGAAGTACTTTAATCTCCCTCGCCGCGTGTGTGGTGATAGGTCTATTTCGTGACGAAAAATTGCGTAATACAGCCTAAAATAAAGCCTTAAACTGATACTGACAACAACGCCATCTGTTGATCGATAGCATAACTAATTGCGACACTTCGATACGGACGAGTGTTTAATTGATCTTGTAGACTTCCATCGGGTGACCCATCTGCTCGTTTGCCCCCTCCCATAAAAAAAAGACCTAAACCTATTATTATAACTATCTGCTACATATCAATAAAATGGCAAACTGCGCAGCATGTGATAAATTTACCTCGTCAAAAGGTGTCGCTGTATGTTGCAGATGCAATAAAAAGTATCACCTGCCTTGTTTGCGCTTGCCGGATGCTACGAGGGTAAGCAGGGAATGGCAGTGCCAAGACTGCAAAAATAATATCCCCAAGGACTGCAATCAGCCGAGCTCGGCAAAGGAAACGCGCAATGAGAAGAATGAGAGTTCCCCCACTAGTTCCTATGACTCCTCTCAATCTACCGGTGGCTCCGCCAGTAAAGATCAAGATCATGGTGCTGATATTGCCTACGAAATAAAGCTGATGAGAGCAGAGATGAAGGAAATGAGGGAAGATATTAGACCCGAGCTGCGGGAGCTCCGCCTCGAGATGGCTGACCTGCGTCAGACTGTGGCTACCTACAAAAAAAAGGTCGATCACCTGGAGTCACGTCTGGATGACCTCGAGAGGAAGCAGGCGACCTCCCCCGAGGTTGCGGTGGACCAGTTGGAGCACACGGTGAAGCAGCTGCAAACAGAGCTCGGTGAACGAGAGCAGGAACTGCTGCTCTCTGACATCGAGATCTCGAACCTCCCTGAGAGTCCCGGTGAGAATGTGTTTCACTCCGTGGAACTGGTAGCGAAGAAACTAAGTGTCACCTTGGAGCCCCGGGATATAGTGTTCGCAGAGCGCGTGGGCCCCCATGTGGCGCGGTCACGTGAGTCAGGCGAGTCGGCGGGCGCGGCGCGGTGTCGGCGCATCGTGGTGCGGCTGGCGCGGCGCGGGCTGCGGGAAGAGCTTCTGCGGAGCGCGCGCGTTAGGCGCGGTGCCACTTCAGCCGACCTCGGCATAGATGCGCCGTCGCGACGCTTTTATCTCAACGAGAGACTCACCAGAACAAACAAACACCTGTTCTACCGCGCCCGACAGGCGGCTGCCAGTCTGGGCTGGAGGTTCACCTGGACGAGTCGGAGCAGAGTACTGACTAAGGAAGCTGATGGAAAGCGCACCTATGTAATTCGCTCTGAAGCCGATCTAGAACATGTTTTCGGTAAAGAAACCGTTACCGCCAGTAAAGACTAGCATGATCACATCGGGGTACGTTCGTTTATCAACATCTCAGGTTATCTGTAAATGCCGACTGCCTTTTCACATGCTATACAAATGTATCATGGGTGCATTGTGTGAAGATCAGTTTCCAATAATTAAATCAGTGTTAGCTACGGTCCTTTATGTTGTCTATATCATTGAAGGTGGGGAGCAGAGTACACATTCACATGTGACTATTTATAAGGAACATAAGATTACAAATACTTTTACTATAAAACAAAATACATATTCACATGTGACTATTTACAAGAAACATTTGATTGCAAACATGTTTAAACTAAATCTAAACACAACTGTTTACAGAATAAATTTTATAAAACTCCTACATACAAATATTTACAAAACTATTTACATAAAGGTATTATTATTATTAGTAGGTAAAAATAACAGGCATTTCCTTATAACTAATAGTGTGAAGTGTATACATTGTACATAATGTACATATCTTAAGAAACTAAAATGGAATAACTTTTTTACAGTGTGTTGTTGTGATCTCCTTAACTCTAATGTTGTGTTTTTGATGAGGGTTGTACGCTTACTTAACTTCACCAATGAACAAATTAAATTAAACATATTTTTGGATATAGATTCTAATTTAACTCATTTTATGGTTTACATGATGACCACCTGCATTCGGCAATTACTAAGATATATTGATAATTTGTTGGTGGTTAATGGTATACTTATTTGGAAAATATAATAAATAAAAATGATCCACAACAAATTCTTAAGGTTTGGTTTATTTAACGCAGGGTCACTGGGAACTAGGCATGATGAATTTTTGATTGCAATGAGTCTACACTCAGTTGACATCATGGCCATTAATGAGACCTGGTTGAGGGCAGGTGAGGAGGGGAGAGCACCCTCAGTACCGGGCTATAGATTGAGGCACACTCCGAGACCTAATTCTGTTCGAGGTGGTCGTGGTGGAGGGGTAGGATTCTACATAAAAAATGGGGTTAAGGTACAAACCAGAAGTCATTTATTTATTTATTTATTTTTTAACTTTTTGCACAAGTACATGCATCGGCGGACTTAATGCCTAAGGCATTCTCTGCCAGTCGACCGATTGGGCGGTGCTAAGAAAGAATGAGGTAGGTGCATTTATGATAGGGTATAAAGGGTATAAAGTCATCCCTTTACTCAGTGAGGTGGAGCAGTATTGGCTCTCATTAAACATAGCCGGAAAAAAGGTTCTGGTCGGTACAGCCTACCGACCCCCTTGGATGTTTACTGACAAGTTCTTGGATGGTCTGACTGACAGCATAGGTGCACTGGCTCCGTTTGACCACATAATTCTTCTAGGCGACTTCAATATCAACATGCTGGATGGATGCTGTGCAAACACTACAAAGCTGCAACAGTTCCTTCATTACACTAATATGAGTCAAGTAGTAAACACTGCAACACATTTCATAGGAAATAGTGGCACTTTGATAGATGTCATATGCACTGACATGACTGTGAGAAATATTTTATTTATTTATTTATTTATTCATCTTTATGCACTTTTGTACATCGGCGGACTTAATGCCCAGGGCATTCTCTTCCAGTCAACCTTTGGGTGATGTAGAAATCTTGTCAGGTAGGTGCACAGAGGTTACATCATAATATCAAATGTACAATGAATATATATACGGTTCACTACATATATAAACATA